ATGATGATGATGATGATGATGATGATGATGATGATGATGATGGTACTGAGAGGCTGGCATTTTAAAGGACTTGGTCTTTTGGAAAGATCTCTTTGGCTAAGAGTAGAAATTGAGGATTCTCTCATTTGGAGATTGTTTCCTCTCATTGTACTAGCAGGGTGCAGTCTCTGTTAGCTCCACCGTGGTTCCTAAGGCATTGGTGAACTTTGTAGCTGAAATATACATATATGTTTGATAGTGTGTTCATTTATTTATACGGATTCAGTAGGAGCAAGGATTAAACCCCGATGGAAGAGTGCAGACAGATACTACAGCTGCAACAATTGAGACTGCTGAACTTTAGATTTACTGCTTCTGATTTTTGCTTCTGTGTGATGATATTTGAGTGGAATATGCTTTATCATATAGGATTAAGATTGTACTCCAACAAGTTTCACTCTAGAAGAGTAAAATAAATTTACATTTCTATAAATGTAAATAAAAATATGCTCATGGTTGGAGAAGAGACCGTATTCTAAGGCAGGTGTTTGTTTTTTTCTTTTTTAAATTATAAGATACCTCTTCAATTTTCGAGGTGTGGCAGCCAGTTTCCGCTTCAAGCACCTTTTCCTGTGTGGTTCTTTGGTCTTTCATGTTGGAGAAGACTGGCAAGAATTCTTCTACCCACAACTGAAACCTTGGGTTCACTATATCCCAGTTCAGTCTGATCTTTCTAATGTGAGGTGAGGTGTTGAAACTGCAGTGGCTTAATTATTTGTGTGTATTAATAGCTTTTATATAAGATATTTATAGTAGAAAATTGCTTAGGATTGTGCATCATATTTGACAAAATCATCAGGAATGAGCCAGAGATAGCTGACTTAAAATATAGGGGTTGCCTTCAAATGCAGAATCATACAGAATGCCCTGCATAGTTTATTTTGGATTTAACTGATTCTTATATGATTGAGACTAGGTAAAGTCTGCTTTTCTAGATAGAAGTTTTCTAGATAGCCATTCCAGCCCATTTTATAAAAGGCATTTCCAGTTACAGGTGGTCCTCATTAAGCAACCACTCATTCAGCAACCATTCAAACTTACGACGAAGCTGAATAAATAGTAGTTATGACTGGTCCTTGGAGTTCCAGCTGTTGCAGCATCTCCACAGTCATATGATTGCGAACTGGACATTCAATGCCCGGCTCACAATTACAACATTGCAGCAAGTCACAGTCGCAGTCGTGACTTCAGGTGTTCCCTACCGGCTTCCCACAAGCAAAGTCAGTGGGGAAGCTGGCAGAAAGTCAGAAGTTGCAGTCACGTGAGGTCCTTGCTTAATGACCTGTGCAGTTCTTGCTTAACTACGGCAACCGGGACTCCCAGAACTGCCATTGCTAAATGGCATGATCACATGACATTGCACTTTACGATCCCATTGCTGAGTGACAGCCATTTCAGTCCCAATTGCCATCATAAACATCATATTGTATATCTCCCAGGAAAATGGACTACATTGGTGAGCATCTCTTGATACCGTGATTTGGAGCATCACCACTTTCAGCTTCAGGGACACTTACATTATTAGACGTAATCACTAAATATTATGAGACAGGAAAGCCCATAGTTAGTCTTTATGAATCTTGCTATTGATAAATCATTTTGATAGACATATTTTAAAGACTGATTGGAATAAGGAACTGGAGTTCTCCATGTTGTTTAAATAATGAGAAACTAACTTAATGTCTATATGAAATTTAGGTAAATCTAGAAATTTAGTTAAATTTAGAAATTTCAGTAAGACTATAGCATATTAAAAAAACATATTTCAGACTTACTGCATTCCATAGAAAAGAAACTAGTAAATCATATTTTTGTTGGAGATCCATTGGGAATAAAGCTTTATTAAAACATGTGTTTTTATAATGTCCTAAAAGGATTGTACTCTGGGAAAATTATAATTATCCTTTACAATAATATGACATTAAGACAAGGCTTAATATTTTTGGACATACATATTTTTTAATTATATACCTATTACTTTACTTGGAAAATGATGGCTGGACAACAAAACTGAATTCTCTGCTCCCTTCTTACTGCTAAGACATTTGGTTGGTCGGTTGGTTGGCTGGCTGGCTGGCTGGCTGGCTGGCTGTTGGTTTCCATAGCTGCCCAATTCTACATGATTCTGACCTTCACGTTGGAATGATAAATGTATGGTCCCAGTTACTCAGTGGATTGAAGACCTGATGTTTCTTGTGCCTTATGAATGAGTTGCTTACAGACATAAATTATGTATGGATGATTAGAATGAAATATCATCCTTCATTGAAACGGTTGTATAAAATTGTGTGTGTGTGTATTCACACACAAGTATGAGAAACCTTTATTTATATGTGTGTGTGTGTGTCTATTTGTGTGTGTGTTTTGCTTTTCTTTTTTTCCCTTTGTTTTATTTTTCTATTGTGTGATTTATTTTTTTGTTCTTTTTAATTAAAGTTAAAATAAACAAAATGTATATATATGGATTGTGATTGCTGTACTGTTCTTGGTGACCTTCCTTTCTTCTTTAATAATGTTGTAATTATTTTTTTTATTTAATTTCATTTTTATTTATGTATTGATTATTTTTATTTTATTTTATTCTTTATGTATATTTTCTGTTGGATTGGAGCTACATAAAAGCTCCAGCAAACAAACCAATAAACAAACAAGCAAATAAACAGTAAGTTGAAAAAACTAAACCAAACTCAACCAGTTAAACGTAAGAGACTTCCCTTGCTGATAACAATAAAAAAATAAATTTTAAAAAAATACTTCCCTTGCTGATTTGGACTTATTTGTCCTGTCTAAAGTCAATCTTAAGAGCCTAACTATTTTCTGATTTGTATCCAGAAGATATTAAACATAACAAATATGTGTTTCAGAGAGCTATTGGAATTTGCAAGAGAAAATGATGACGTTGCTCAGAGAATTTCTGAGAGGTAAGCTCTTGTTACTGCTATACTTTCTTTTAATTATAGGAATTGCTTGGTACAAACCAGATTTGATCATGAAGTCCGTAAGACTTTCCCAAGATTGTATTTTGCAATATGTTTAAACTCTGAAAAATGTCTATTTGCATTACATGCAAATTTAGAAATAATTGCTAGGATGTGTTCATTTTGCAGGAGGAAGACCTTTAAATGTCATTCAGTTCTAATATCATTAATTTGATTATACATCATTTAAAGTTTATCTCCACAATTGGGGTTTGTTCTGTTTTCTTTACAGCAGCTAGCACTTCAAGTCTTACATATCTGTTTATTTCATATGTATAAACCTGGCTTTGATTTTTAAATAAGTGTTTAATTCCTAGCATAGGATGCTGAGACTTCCTGTTTAAAATCATGGTTTTATCTCATAAAATTACAGTTCCCTGGAGAGACATAATGATTGCTAAGCTTTTTTTCCTTTTATAGCATAGATGTGTATTTAAGCTTTTGAATTAGAAAAGCAATTGACTGTATTGACATTTGAATTAGAATTCAAAATTGACTTTGGAATTAGAAAAGCAGTTGACTTCTTTGCTTGATTGTTTGGCCTCTAGGGGTCGCCAGTTCATCATGGACCACTTGCAAATGGAGGATATCACTTGTTATTGGGAACAACTTCTAACTGCGTATTCTAAAGCCTTGACTTATAAAGTGAAACGGAAGAGCAACTATAGTGAGATACCATCCAGACCTTTGAAAACAGAGCTGTAAAAAGCCACACTTCCAGTCAGGGCTTGTGGACATTTTGAACGGAAGAGCAACTATAGGGACATACCATCCAGACCTTTGAAAACAGAGCTGTAAAAAGCCACACTTCCAGTCAGGGCTTGTGGACATTTTGAAATCAGAAAAGTAGGATTGTTCCTCCAACTAATGGAAGTTCTCTCTGTTTGTTGATAAACTAAAGAGAAAAGCATATTGTTGCTACTTACTATACTGAGTG